AGAAGAAGAAGAAGAAGAAGAAGAAGAAGAAGAAGAAGAAGAAGAAGAAGAAGAAGAAGAAGAAGAAGAAGAAGAAGAAGAAGAAGAAGAAGAAGAAGAAGAAGAAGAAGAAGAAGAAGAAGAAGAAGAAGAAGAAGAAGAAGAAGAAGAAGAAGAAGAAGTAGTTTATTGTCATTGTACAAGTACAACGAAACTGTGGATGCACCCCAGCAACTGTTCACAATACAATAAAACCAGGGCACTTAAAAATGAAGATAAGAAAAGTAGAGTACCCACATCTCCATTTGCAATTAGAGAGTACAATAGCTACGAATATACACAAAATATACATCCAACACTGACTATGATGCTTTGCCGAGGATAATACACAAGAGATGGATTGTACTGTAATATGTTATTATACATCTGAATGAGGTATTGAGATTTCACATCTTTGGTCACGGGTTGTAATGTTACCATAGTTGCATATCCCTGCCTTAAGACGAATGTTCATGCAACATGAGGGGGTTATGAGCTTTTTTTAAAAAAAATGGTGTGTCAGATGTCACCTACATTCAGCCACAACCACAACATTGGAGTAGTGTAGTTTATATGGGGCTGCCTTTGAAGACCAATAAGATACGAGTGTGAGTCCAAAGTGCAGAAGAACAGATTGACAGAGTTGGAAGGGACTTTGTAGGTCATCTAGTCCAACCCCCCGCCCTGCCCAAGCAGGAGACCCTACACCATTTTTGACACATGGCAGTCCAGTCTGTTCTTGAAAGCCTCCAGGGATGAAGCTCCCACAACTTCTGTTCCATGGGTTGATTGTTCTCACTGTCAGAAAGTTTCTCCTTATTTCCAGGTTAAATCTCTCCTTGTTCAGTTTCCCTCCATTATTCCTTTTCTGGCCTTCAGGTGCCTTGGAAAATAGCTTGACTCTGACTGTGGCAGCCCCTCAAATATTGGAAGGCTGCTCTCCTGTCTCCCCTGGTCCTTCTTTTCACTAGACTAGCCAGGCCCAGTTCCTGCAACCGTTCTTCATATGTTTGAGCCTCCAGTTCCCTAATCATCCTGGTTGCTCTTCTCTGACCTCTTTCTAGAGTTTCAACATCTTTTTTATATCATGGTGACCAATTGGATGCAAGGCATTATAAAATGGCCCACATGTTGGCGAATAGATGACACCACAGCAATATGACACCAGTGTGTTGGCCCTCTTGTTTTAGTTGTCAATAAATCTCTGGGTACATTACAATTTACCTTCATCTTCTCTGAATAGAGTAAATTTGGAGATAGAACAGAACAGAATTAGAAATAATAGAAATAGAAATAGAAATAGGAATAGAACAGAACAGAACAGAACAGAACAGAATAGAATAGAAGGGACCTTGGAGGTCTTCTAGTCCAACCCCTTATTCAACCAGGAGGCTCTCTACCATTTCAGACAAATGGTTGTCTAATCCCTTGTTAAAACCTCCAGTGATGGAGCATTCATATGGCCTCTGTGCTGCAGTGGTTAGAGTGCAGTATTGCAAGCTATTTCTGCAGCCAGCTGCCTACAATTTGGCAGTTCAAATCCCACCAGGCTCAAGGTTGACACAGCCTTCCATCCTTTCGAGGTGGGTAAAACGAGGACCAAATTGTTGGGGGCAAGAGGCTGACTCTGTAAACCGCTTAGAGAGGGCTGGAAAGCACTATAAAGCAGCATATAAGTCTAAGTGCTAGTGCTATTCAAAACTTCTGTAGGCAAGTCGTTTCACTGATTCGTTGTCTTAATTATCAGGAAATTTCTTCTTATATCTAAGTTGCTTCTCTCCTTGATTTTAGTTTCTATCCATTGCTTCTTGTCCTGCCTTCAGGTGCTTTGGAGTATAGATTGACCCCCTCCTCTTCTTTGTGGCAGCCCCCACAAAATATTGGAAAACTGCTATCATGTCACCCCCTTATTTTCATTAACTATACATACCCAATTCCAGCAACCGTTCTTTATATGTTTTAACCTCCGGTCCCTTTATCATGCAAGATTGGGCTGAAAATTGACCTTTGGGACTGTAAACTGAAAATGAAACAAGCACTCCCTCGCAGGAAGGACAAAAGCCAGGAATTGCCTTAATTTGCAAACTACTGAAAAAAGGAACCAAGTTGTTGAGTCAAAAAATAGTCACAAGAAACTGCCTGAGATGATAGACAGAAGGGGCCACCCTTGGCAACTTTTAAAGTATGTGGACTTCAACACCCAGAATTCTACAGCATGCATGAATTTCAATGCCCAGAACTCCCCAGCCAGCATTCTTGGACTTCAACTCCCAGGATTCCCTAGACAGCATCCTTGGACTTCAGCTCCCAGGATTCCACAGCCAGGATTCTTGGACTTCAACTCCCAGGATTCCACAGCCAGCATTCTTGGACTTCAACTCCCAGGATTCCATAGCCAGCATTCTTGGACTTCAACTCCCAGGATTCCCTAGCCAGCATTCTTGGACTTCAACTCCCAGGATTCC